ACTACTACTACTACTACTACTACTACTACTACTACTAACAATACCACTTTTACTACCACTACTACTACCACTACTAATACCACTTTTACCGCGCTACTACTGCTAGCACTATTCTATGCTGTGCAACGTTATATGTCACTGTATTGGCAACCCTACCACTAACACAACGAACGACAGTTGAAACCCCGCAAAACACTAGTTGGGCCAAGTTAAACAGCAATGACTCACCACATCCAACCAGAAAACAGCGTACTACAGCTGAAATTCTTAGGAGACACAATGGCCTGCCCATCTCAGTTAACCACATCAACCACAGCCACATCTGTAGTTGCTGTCGCACTGGAGCTGCTAGCTGCTTAACAAATTCACAGGTATATCTTGATTTTTTTCCGACGTGCCTTTATTCTTCATCATATCATCTCGGAATGCAGTCTATTTCCTAAACCCAATATATTAACGTGCCCAAAGATTGGGGTTCCAGATATAATGTGGCCTTCATCATCCCCGAAAGAGGGAGAAGACGAGGGGGCAAGTATAGGGAACAAGTTGACAAAGTCGAGAGGTCTGACTAAAAGGACAGCGCTGGCTGCAAACGGCACCGATGCAGCAATGGCACGTTTCAACGGCCTACCAACGGTGCAAAAACCCGAGTACCCTTGCACCTCATCATATCCTTACGTAGAAAAGCCCAACTGTTAGGTTGTCAAGGTGACAGTACCGGCGACTGTGCTTCCTTACCGAGGATTTAGAGTGGACAGCGAAGACTGCTAAGGAGTTCTTTACCCGCATTCACCGCCTATGTTTGGAGGCAGATGAGGTGACGGTGACGTTTGACGTGATTTCGCTGATCGCATATATTCCACCCGATTGACAATCTTCTCCAAGCACAATACGATGAACGCGACCTGAAACACAAGGGAGTGCATATAATTGAGCACATGTTACTTTTTTGGAATAATTCCTTTAACTTCAATGACCAAGTTTACGAACAAAAAAAGGGGACATAAATGGGCTTGCCTTTGTGTGGCCTTTTTCTCCGAGCTGCTTTGCAGAGGTTCGAGCGATGGTCCTCATCTCGTCTCCCCCGAAGTTCTGAGCGAGGAGACTGAAATTGCCATTTCTGGCTTATTAGCTCTGATCAACCAATCATACCTAATCAGAAGTGTGGATCCCCCTTAAAATAGAATGCTGGAATTCTGGGTTGAGGAAATATCCACTTCGGCAGGGAAAAAAATGAAACCTGGCACACAGAGAAAACTTCGATCAACCACTTTGGGGCGGTTCCCACATCCTATCAGGCCCTCCGAACGAGGCTCAGTGAAGAAAAGGGAGAA